GTACAACCTCAGATAAAATGTATATGTGAAAATGTCTTCATTTCAATTGTGACTTTTACTTTAATTATATATCCTTGAAAATGTCTTAGGCCTACAGCGAATTACAAAAAACCGTTATAGTTTTTAATATTATCGTTTTACTAACAGCGTCACGGTTTGCTTGATAGGGCATGCTAAAATTTTGTATGCTGATTACCATTTTACTCATCGATTGGATGTTTGATTTCAATGGAATCAATAATACTTTGCATATGAAACACAGAGCCCAGCAATACCACTGACAATACTGACCAATCGCATTGAATAAACAACAATTACATGTGAACGGACAAAGCAAGTTTTACTTCCTATAATGATGATATTGATAGAGCTACGTACATAGTACAACAGAAGCAGAGAAGCCTTACTAAAACTATTCTTTAAACTTTCTTATACGTATTCCAAAACCCATCCGGTCAAATCACAACAAATATATTACAAGCTATTTTGAGGACAGAAAACGGCCTTTGACTGACCACGTGTTGCTGGTGACTATAAATGCCGTACTGGTAAACAACCCTTCAGTGTGATTGGCCAGTATTATAAGGGCATTGTTGTATTCCGAGTTTCATATGCAAATTAGTATTGATTTCATTGATCCAATCGATGAGTAAAATGATAACCAGCACACAAAATTTTAGCACGCCCCATCAAGCAAACTGTCACGCTGTTTGTAAAATGATAATAGATTGCTGAATAGCTCAATAGGATACACAATTTGGTCTAACAAGCATCACATTAGGTTTCAATCTAGGTCACCAGGTTACTCTGGTGTATCATAAGATTTAACATCTTAAATGTGAGTTGATTTCAATGTTGTTTGAACTGATTGTCAATGTGTTCTTGTGTAAATAAATGCAATATTTTTCTTGAAAGGATTCTTATTTTATTGCATGCTTAGGCATTGCTTTTGAACAGAATAAGATAGACATTGGTTTGCTTGAATGTTTGAACATTTCACATTGTAAGGTATGGATTTATTTATTGCTCACAGCTTACAGTTAAGTTATAATCTTTGCGATAATCTTATCACAAAGGCCAAGATCTATAAAACTGTGTTCAGGCTTTTAAATTTAAAACTAGATGCTGTCATGAGACAGTAATACCCGCACTAAGGTGTTTGCCTCTAAATACACGCTCCTACATATTGGGCGGCTTTCCAAGGAAAAAGTCAAAATAATTCTATAATTTACATGTATTCATCAAATTAAGTATGAAATTCTCAGACCCTGTGACCTATAACTCAGAACCTCTTATATTTATTTTACATGCTTATAATTCATTATATACCAGTTTGAATTCTATTAATGATGTAAATTAGATTTTGATAAATGTTTTGCTCATAATAGGACCTTTTTAAATTCACTAATCCCCCCCCCCCTCGACACCACAATCACACAGCACATACTTTTTGGAATAGGCTAGATGGAAAAGTTTTGTTAAAACATCGTTTGTTATGAATTAATTTAAAATTTGTTCTTGTACTATACATGTTAACATGTAAATTTCTACATCACATCACGTTGCGTCACCCATTATCATATTTTTAGATTAAACACCATTTGGCACACCTCGGCGGATTCCCACTTCATCTGATAAGATGACGGAATCGACGAAGGTTTGTCGAATGGAATTAGCACATGGCTGCAGTCTGGTGTGCATTGGATTAATTCATTTTGTGTTATAATTGGATTTATATTTCATGAAGTTGACGAGACGATGGCAGTCGGTAAGTACAAGTTTAAGTATAGTGGGGGGTAAAATAAACCCAAACGATTAGGTTAAAGTTCAAAAAGGGTCAAAGATCATCGCATGCCACACTAGACGAATTTCATATTGTGAAGTTATTTCCCGTTGTCGATGTGACATTCAGTTACTGGCAATACTGGTGCGGATCCAGAATTTTTTTTCGGGAGTAGGGAGGGGGGTTCACATCTCAGTCAAAAAATTCCAGCCCAGAATTTCCTGACAAGCAGGAGAAAAAAAACTGAAAACAAATAAACAAAATAAAAACAATGAGTGGTCAATGTTTTCTAAGTTAGGGGGAGGATGTCCAAAGTCATTTTCTATTTGCTTCAGTATATAGTCTTGTTTAAATAACAAAGCAAATTCCAGGGGGGGGGGGTGATGGGGGATTCCAATCTCCCTACCCACTCCCTGTCCCTGAAATAACAATCTATTTTGTGATTCCAATTAAATAGTATATTTTTTTCCATTAGACTAATTATACATATTTTGTTTATTTGTGTTTATATTATGTCTGTCTATTTGTCTGCAGAAATTATAACCTTGCCCATAAGTTTTTAGTGGGATGGGCTATACAAATGGCTTCCACATTTTATAGGTTTATTTCTTTTGACAATTAAGACCTTTTATTTGGGTACCATTAATTTTTACCTCTGATCGCTTGACCTAGGATACACAATACCAAACTTTAAACTTGGCCTAAATTTTGATCAGTAGGTGCTAGGGCTTTCATGCTTAATATGTGTATTCATTGTGAACTGTCAACAGGTATGAATATGTTTGACCTTGACCCTAGAGTTTGAACCACTTAAAAAAAAAATTAACCTTGGCAATTAACTTTTGAACAAGAATTACTAGGGATTTCTTTATTTCACATGTGCATTCCTTGTGACAAGACTTTATTCTGATACTAACAATTTGAACCCTTTGACCTTGACCTTTGAGTTTGACATATATTTGAGAAACTTTAACCTTCGCCATAGGCTTCCATACAGGGACATCAGTGTTTCACAAACACATCTTGTCTTCCTTATTATTTGGTGGTGTCTCTATATGAGGGAAAAATTCCCAAGAGAGATGTATTCACAACAAACAAACAAATTACTAAAGAAAATATAAAACATGAATATGTTGGTCATGCATATCTCTGCATGAAAAAAACAGCTTTTCAAATACTGCAACCATATTGTAACCCTTTCAAAACACTCATTTAAGCTTTTCTGGTTTCCTTAGCATATAACGTCTGTGGTGACATGTCGTCCATCTGTTTGTCTGAAAACTTTTTACATTTTTAACTTCTCTAGAACCACTGGGCCAATTTTACCCAATTCATGTAGAAATATGTACATTTGTATGTCAGACTGTCCATCTGTCTCAATAAATTTAACCTTGGTCATCACAGTCATATCTACTGAATGAGAAGAGACATTCATATTAAACTTATGTATTAGTATTTACCTGTGAGAATGGCATGGTTTTTTTTTTTTACATGTGACCTAGAAGTTTGACCTACTTGCAAAAAAATTAAATTGTTATAAATTCATCATTTTGAAAGAGAAAAGTTAGGGCATTCATATCATAGTGCATGTATATTATTACCTGTGATAAGACCTTTCCAAATAAATCATGACTTTTACTCTGTGACCTTGACCTTGAAGCGGTCAAGCCTAACCTACTTTTCAAAAATGTTGCATTTGCTTATTACTTTTGATTGAGATGAGATATGACTCTCACATTTGACATGTACATTAATTACTCATAAAAATTCAAGGTGTTTCCCAGAATGCGATGCTTTTTTACCCCTTGACATTGATGTTTTACATAATTTTCAAAATATTTAACTCTCCTAAAAGATGATTAGGCTTCTGAGTAACATTAAGGAAGACTTCAGGGAAGACAGGGCTTTTTGCACAAAAAACGTCATTTTTCAACCCACATTTGACCCCCCGGGGCAAAATCTAAATTCCAAATCCTTACTGCACATCTACCTGACACCACCAACCATCTCCCAAAAGATGATTAGGCTAATGTGTAAAATGTAGGAGAAGTTCAAGTAAGACGGGGCTTTTTGCATAAAAAACGTTATTTTTTTACCCCATTTGACCCCCTGGGGCAAAATCAAAATTCAGAAACCTTACTGAACATGTACATGACACAACCAACCATCTCCCAAAAGGTGATTAGGCTGCTGAGTAAAATGTAAGAGGAGTTCAGAGAAGACAGGGCTTTTAGCATAAAAAACATCCTTTTTCGACCCCCATTTGACCCCCCAGGGCAAAATCAAAATTCCGAAACCTTACTGCACATCTACATGACCCCACCAACCATCTCCCAAAAGATGAATAGGCTGCTGAGTAAAATGTAAGAGGAGTTCAGGGAAAACGGGGCTTTTTGTATAAAAAAAGTTATTTTTCGACCCCCATTTGACCCCCCGGGGCAAAATCTAAATTCCAAAACCTTACTGCACATCTACCTGACACCTCCAACCATCTCCTAAAAGATGATTAGGCTACTGTGTAAAATGTAGAAGGAGTTCAGGGAAGACGGGGCTTTTTGCATCAAAAACATCATTTTTTGACCCCCATTTGACCCCCCAGGGCAAAATCAAAATTCCGAAACCTTACTGCACATCTACATGACACCACCAATCATCCCCCAAAAGGTGATTAGGCTGCTGAGTAAAATGTAGAAGGAGTTCAGGGAAGACGGGACTTTTTGCACAAAAAACGTCATTTTTCGACCCCCATTTGACCCCCCGGGGCAAAATCAAAATTCCGAAACTTTACTGCACATCCACATGACCCCACCAACCATCTCCCAAAAGATGATTAGGCTGCTGAGTAAAATGTAAGAGGAGCTCAGGGAAGATGGGGCTTTTTGTATTAAAAATGTTATTTTTCGACCCCCATTTGACCCCCCGGGGCAAAATCTAAATTCCAAAACCTTACTGCACATCTACATGACACCTCCAACCATCTCCTAAAAGATGATTAGGCTACTGTGTAAAATGTAGAAGGAGTTCAGGGAAGACGGGGCTTTTTGCATAAAAAACATCATTTTTCGACCCCCATTTGACCCCCCGGGGCAAAATCAAAATTCCGAAACCTTACTGCACATCTACATGACACCACCAATCATCCCCCAAAAGATGATTAGGCTGCTGAGTAAAATGTAAGAGGAGTTCAGGGAAGATGGGGCTTTTTGCATAAAAAACG